AATTCCAGATTTGTTGTGCTGGGATCTTACTCCAAATGGTATTTGTTCCTCCAAATGTGCTTATAAATTGTGTTTACAAGATATTCATGCTAATCCTAGACATGCCCCTACTGTTGTACCTTTGGATTTGAAAAATCTGCTTAAAATATTTTTGAAACAAAAGAATATGCTTCCTAGGGTGCAAACTTTTGCATGGAGACTTTTAAGAAAAGCTTTGCCTATGGGTATGCGAGCTGGTCATTTCTCGATTCATATTTCTCAAATATGTTGTCGATGTGGTCAACCGTAGGATGAGTTTCATCTATTTTTCCTTTGACATTTTGCTCGTGCGGCCTGGTTTTCTTCTCCCTGGTTTCTCAAAGCTGATATTTTAACCCAAGGCCATACTACAATGCATTCAGTGCTTATTGCTTTCATTGAAATGAATCCCTCACATGGCTCCATTCCAAATATCCTAAATTTTCTGTGGAGTCTTTGGAAAGCAAGAAATGATTTTATTTTTGATAGAAACAAAGCTCTTCCTTATCAAGTTAGCATTGCGACTGGTGCTTTAAATTTGGAGCCTCAGGATGTTCTTTCTGGTCTTTCTACTAAGAATCAACAGGTTCAACACATTCCTGCTAGCAATCAGCTCCCCTTGCCAGGTAATTCTCTCATGTCTGATCTTTTAGTTGTTGGGACAAAAATTTACTCTGATGCGGCTTTCAGAACAAAAAAAGCTCCTGGCCTTCCTCCAGGTGATGAGGCTACAGGTATTGGTATCTATATTTCTCTTCCCTCGGAGTAGGGAGAAATTAGTATTCAAATTCAGGCCTCCGCTTCATCTACATCCACTCCTTTGCAGGCTGAATCTATTGATGTTGCTTCTGCTGCTAATATTGCCTCTCGGCTCAATATTATGCATCCTACTTTTCTAACTGACTGTGTTACTCTTGCTAAATGTGCTGCTTCGGCCAACACCTTAGATCCCTCTATACCTTGGAATATCAGAAAGGATCTTGCCATTTTTTGGTACATTCTGCAACTCTTAATCCTAAAGTGTTCATATTGCTAGAGAAGTTAATGGAGTTGCCAAACCTTGCTCACCGGGTTTTCATAGCGAATAGGGATACTCAAATTTGTTGCTTTGCTCGTAATCACTCTTCTAATTCCTGCAATGTTGTATCCCTTCTTTCTAATTTCCAAATTCTTGGTATTAAGATTCACACAGTGCGCTGTTTCTAGCTCTTTGCTTCTTGGTTCTTCTCTATTCAAGATACTCTACTTCATTTGTTCTTGTAGTATTTCAGTTGCAGGGATGGACTTCTTCAGGCGCAAGGAGACTTGTTGGTGAATCTGCAGACTAAGCCAATGATTTTGGAGCTCGGCTGAACTACTATCTCTTTGTTCGAAGTTCTCTTTCTTCTTCAGAACTTGATGCAAGCTATTGGAGCCCAATTTCACTCAGAAGTTGTTGGTCCAGTTGCTCTTGGTGCAGTTTCCATGTTGTATCTTTGCGCTTTGAGTACCAGAAGGGCAGTTCATGTCATCTTCTTCTTTAGGCTGCCTTCTTATGTTTAGTTATGTGGTTCATCAGAAGGGATTCTGCTCCCTTCTTGTCTTCTCCGACTTCTATTCAGCTCTTCCTTCTCAGATTCTGCAGTCTAATTCTCTCTTTCTTGCAAGTAGTTTCTGTAATCATGATGTACACTGAATTTGAGCTGAATATATTGGCACATGTTGGTGCCTTTCTCTGTTAAAAAAAATAGTACCACCTCGAATACGAAAAAATTCTTTTCGACGGTGAACGGATGAAAAAATTGGCGAAACACATCTTACTTTATTACTCGGTATAGATATAGATATAAATAAAGAAATAAAGAAATAAAGAAATATATATATTGCAAAATATACTTTAAATAATGTTTTGAAAAATGTTAATCATCCATTTTGAAGAATGCTAAATGTGTATACAAAAAATGTTGAAAATGTATACCAAAAATATATAATGGGTGCGAAAAAAGTTGATCATGTATTTAAAATATGTTAAAAATTAATTTGAATTTTGAATCAAGTGTTTGAAAGTTTTTGAATGTGCATAGAAAAAATGTTTACCATGTATTAAAAAAATGATGAAATGTCTTGATCATATACATGAAAATATGAACCAAGCATTTTTAAACATGTTGAACATGTATTTAAAATGTTAATCAATCATTTGGAAAATGTGAAATGTGCATAGAAAAAAATGTTGACCATGCATTAGAAATTTTTTAGTATTGCAGTTGAAACTTTTTAATCAAACATTCGAAAAAATTAATTGTGTACAAGTAAAATGTTGACCATGTAGACAAATAAAATGTAAATATTGTGTTTGCAAAAATTTAATGAAGCATTAGAAAAATGTAAAAATGTCTATTGAGAAAATGTTGACAATGTATTCAAAATGTAAAATTTGTATTGGAAAAATGTTAAACGTGTATTAGAAAAATATTGTTGACATGTATAAAAACATGTAGAATGAAAAGGAAAAGAAACGAAGAAAACCAAAAAACTGAGACCCAAAAAAATATAGAATGAAAAATAAAATTGAAAAAACAAATGAAAAAGGAATGAAAATACAAAAAAAGAAGAAGAAAATAAAAAACAAAAAACTACGCAGTGAAACCATGGTTCATTTCGCCTCAAGTACATCCCGCCCTACCACTTGATTAGAATCCCGACGCTAGCTCGGTGGCTAG